GGGTAAGTCCTGGATTGCCAAACCTCAGGACACAGGATTGACAGCGGCGTGGCTCACTACCGTGGGAGCAGTGCCAGCACAGAACGTGTTGCGGCATCTTTTGTCTCCTGAACTGCTGAGGCGGGACCAGCAGCATGGGATTTTTGGGCTATGGCGCAAGGCAGGCTGCAGAGACTACAGTTTGAGAGTTGACTGGAGCACCTGATCCGGCACCATCTGGGCTGACCAGGTACCCACAGTCACTCGCATCTGACTAGGGGGCAGGGTCTTTCCACTCTGACTGGGCTTCAGCTCATCTCTGTGCCTGCTCAGCTAATCCAGCACTTGGAGCCTAAGTTCTGGAACAGGCCCTGAGCATGTCTCCACACATCTCCTATCCCACCCGGTTTGGGTCAAAGGCTACTTGCTCACCAGTGAAAGTGATAAACCCCAGCAAAGGCATCTGGCCAGCAACAGCACTGGAGCCTCCTGTCAACCATACCACACACTGTGGTATATGCTCACTTGTGAGTTAAGTGCTGCTCTTTCCTATTTACCCATCAAAAGCCTCAGGCCCTCAGAACGACACTGGTGGAGGAGGGCATTTAACCCGAACTGTCGAGATTGGCTTGGGTGAACTACAGCTAGTGTCCTTGTTAGGACTCAGGGAAGGACCGCCATGTGGAAACGATGCTGATAAGACCACCTACCTATGACACACATCAGGAAAGACCAACCCTGCTATCCCCTGACCTTGGACTTCAAGCTTCTTAAATCAAGAGAAAAGAAATCCCTGCACAAGCTGCCCTGTCTGTGGTGTGTGTCCTACATCATGGCAGTTTTGGCAGACTACAACAGGCTAAAAGTACTTTTAGATTTCTACCAATGAGTCGACCTCTTAACAGTCGCTTCTATGAACTGCACAAGGAAAAATTACACTCTGTGATGGAAAAATACCCTCTCCAGCTGCCACCTCTCCCTCCCCCTATCTGATAACACTGCAGAAAATAAGTGCAGAGTACACAAAAAAGATTTATAAACACAGGAAGTGTAAATCAAGCCATAACGCAATTCTAAAAATATTCCATGTGAGGAATGAAAAGGAGGGCAGGAAGGAAATCGTCTTATCAAAACCAAGTATCTCTTGTGGAAAGATCTAGAACCTCCTGTGTGCCAGCACTTGAATGGAAATGAGTCATCCGTGAAAAGCTGTCCTGCAGCATGGAGTTCACCTCCAGAGGTGCTCAAGCCTGAGTCTCAGACGCTATGCTCCCCCACTCTCCAGCATGGCAGGCTCCTTCTCCCCGGGGCTCACCGAGGACAGTGCTCCATTGTCAGGCCACGCCCACAGCCATGGAATAGCCATGCCCACTTCTTACAGGATTGCCTGCAGCTTGTCTGGAGCAGTGCAAATGAGGGCAAGCAGCCTGGGGCGGAGGGATGGCTAGCTCAAAGGCACTGTTCCAGGAAGGCACTGCTCCGGGGAAGGCACTGCTCCGGGAAGGCACTGCTCCGGGGAAGGCACTGCTCCGGGAAGGCACTGCTCCGGGGAAGGCACTGCTCCAGGACTTTAACAGCCCACGAGGCAAGCACACAGACACGGCACCATGGCATCACTGAATGGCCTGCGCCCATGCCGCCCTTCTCTAGGCCTGGATTAGACAGAAAGACCAGGCGGCTCAGGGCCTTGTCAGAGTCGAGCAGAGGAAGCACAGAAAAGCCCCCGAGAGGCCGGATGCCTGGCAGGCAGCAGCCACGGCAAGATGCCAGCCTGTGCTGTGGGTTAATTTGCATTCCCTAAACCCCAACAGGACCGTGTGAGAATGTGGGAGCTCTGTGTATGCAATGAGGTCAGGAGGCCAAGGCCCTGTGAATGTCCAGACTCCAGACCCCCTTGCTGTAGGTGAGCTACACAGGGGCACAGTGCCCTTACAAACGAGAAACAGATACCCTGACTGCAGCCCCATGAGAAGGAAGGTCCTGTTGCCTGTAAGCACCCGCCTAAGTAGCGTAAGCAACTTCGAGAATCCATGCAAACACCCATGGACAACAGCCCCCGTGCAACAGCATTCTGCAGCAGTACCCTGAACAAGAAAGGTCAGTCAGGGAACCAGCAAGAAGGAAGAGGCGGGGCCTGCGCTCACAACACGGCCAGCTGGAACAGCCCTTCGGGATACAGACTCAATACAAGCCTCATACGTAAGCTCAGCTGCAACATACTTCAAAATGACATCCCTACCTGCCACGCCCTGGTCCCTCAGCCCAGCACAGCTCTCCGAAGGGTCAGTAGAGGCTGGCTCCTGGCCTCCAAGCCTGGCTGTGCTAGTGGAACACCCAGGTTAGGTCCGCTGGCTCCTGGGATCACCCAAACACCCACTGCTAGTCACTTTCGGCTTCTAGAAGAACTTCAGGCTGCTTCTAGTTCTGAGGCCAGCGCTACTCTCCAAGGTAACTTGTGCTTACTGAGACTGTTCCTGTCCCTGCCCTGATTCCTTCATTTCAGTGACGACAGAAACTTGCATATGGGACCCCACAAGTCCTATGTGCTATAAAGAGAAGGGGTCACACATTGTGGAAGCGTCCTACATGGTATCATGACACTGATCGCAACCGTGACTCAATGCCTCCCTCACCACGGGCCTGACCTCCACCCCAAATGATACCTAAGAGCATCCCCACCTGGCATTGAGTGGACCTGCAAGTTCAAGTTGGGAATTAAACTTTTCGCACCATCAATTCAAACTCACTGCAAAGGACCGGAACAGTAGAGCCCCGGAGGCAAATGGCCTCAAATAATCCGCTTATAAACATAACTCAGTAGCCATGGGTCATCAGCATGTGATAAGAACCATCTCCAGCCGGGCGGTGGTGGCACATGCCTTTAGTCCCAGCACTCAAGAGGCAGAGGCAGGCCTCTGTAAGTTCGAGACCAGCCTGGTCTACAAGAGCTACTTCCAGGACAGCCTCCAAAGCCACAGAGAAACCCTGTCTGGAAAAACAAAAAAGAAGGCCTGCCTCCTGGTGGCCTCTAGATGTCCATTCACACCATCACTTACCTAGCAACCGGTAAGTGACAGCAATCCACAGGACCACTTTCCTGAGCTGGAGCAGCAGCCAGCCCCACAGGAACACACAGGGCCAGCAACAGGCCACGTCCAGGCCTGTTGACTCAGCAATAAGCATCTCCACTGCCCACGCTGCCCAGCTCCAGTCACTGGGCCACCTCAGTGACCAAGGATTCCCTGCTGCCCATAGATCCTCTAAACTGCCCCGCATCTGCTGCTCAGAGCCGCTTTCCAGGGGCCACAGCACAGACAACATTTACAGGGCCTGTGTTCTGGCTGTGTTGCCCACTATGAGGCCCAGAATACAGGGCAGAGTGCCTAAGCAGGGCTCCTCTAGAGGGGAAAGGGGGGTGGCCAATTAAGGTTGAGTGAGCACCTCTCTGATAGTCAGAAAGGCTTGGAATGCATCAGGAAGACATGACGCTGTGTGTCTCCCATCCTGCCCCTCCCCACCCGCCTCCCCACCTGCCAGGCACCGTCCTGGAAGACCGATGTCAGTTTGTTCCTTTCATGTTCACAAAACTTAAGCGTGGTCCTCATTAGGCAGACGGCACAGCTCCCAAAAGGGCCAGGCATATCCCTTCCCAATATGACGAGCTTCCACACACAGACAGACTTGTAAAGGAAGGCACCATGAGAAAGCATGAGGCCAAGCCGCCATGCCCCTCCAGTCTAGCACTAAGGACTGTCACAGGTATGTCACAGGCTGTCTTGGCCTATGCAGCATCTTCAGGTTCTCTTCTGCAATAGAGCCTATGTCCCCAGGAGGCACCTCCAGGACAAGCAAATCACTCTGCTTTTCTGTCCTTACTGTGTCCAATGGTAAGACTGGAAACAAACAAACAAACAAAACCCGAATGCAAGAAAGGAAAAAAGAAAAAAAAGAGGACTGATCAAAAATTAAAAATTTGATGGTGGGGTAGAGATGGGGGAAGGGAGATGAAGAAGAGGAGAGGAAAGGGAGGGAGGAAGGAAGGCCTGGGAGAAAAGACAGCAGGAGATGGGAAGACAGGGAGGAAGGGGGTGGGGGAGGCGCTAAGCCCCTCCCAGGGACCTGCCCTCCCAGGGACCCGCCCTCCCAGGGACCCGCCCTCCCAGGGACCCGCCCTCTGCACTGTCACTCCCTGGTCCTAGAAGAATCCACAGCAGCCAGCTTGGGGACAGAGAGCTCAGATGCAGCTCTAGCGTTGCTTTCCAGGGAGGGGAGGACGGAGAGCTGCACACCCAGCTCCCCGTCCTCCTCCACACCTCAGCTTTTCCACCATTCCCGAGGCTCATGAATGTACGGAGTGTCCGTACATCTGTCCTTGAAAACCGGGAGGCGGCCACTCCCGGAGAGCAATTCATAACGAAACACAACACAGACTCCTCAATCGCACCATCTCAACAAAGTAGGTCTGCCAAGACCTCGAAAAGATCGTTATCTAAATTATTCTACAGTGTCAGCAGCTGTACACATGCCTTGCAGAAAAAACCCTTTCTAAAAATGACTTTACACATGCAGGTTCTTCTGTATTCAGGACAGACAGGTTAAAAAGTAACGTTTGGTCTCCTCCAGGAATAGGATTATGTGGAGAAGTCACTGTTTTGATCATTAATCACATTGTAACAACACCAGTTATGCACTACCCGTTGGCTCTTGTGAGGCCTGGGATCACACAGGAGGCCAGGCGATGGCATGCTCAGAAGGGCTGTGACTAAGTGGGAACTCTGCACAGAACCAGCACCTCTGGTATAAAAAACGATCAAGGACAAAGATCTGTCACTGTTATTGAAACATCTTTATTCACAAATCAAAGCCCTTAGAGGGACGGCTGTTTTTCTTTTCCTGTTGGTTATTTTCTTTTCTTCCTGAAGGGACTCATAAACTGAGTGACTTTTCTTCCTAAAGCAAAACCCCATTTTCCTTCTGGGTGGGGGGGGGACAAAGGCTACATACAGCACGTGGGTACTCACCATGATGTCGCCCTTCAGCAGCTGGGCCGGCTCTATGGCAATACGGATCCTGCTGGGGTTTTCGGGGCCAATATTGCTTCGGATGAACAAGAAAATGGATCATTACACAGTTCCACGATGTCATGACCACGACAGTACAAGCTGAGAAACAGGCTCGAATTTGCACAAACAGCCCATCCTCCAAGTTTGGAGGCGTTACCTGGCACACAAGGGAGAAGGAAAACCCCGGGGGACTTTGTCCTAGCACTACAGCATGTCCACTTCCAAACAGTAGCGATTCCCCTCTCTCCTAGCCCTGGAGATGGCACTGTCCAGCACCTTAATGGAACCAACCAGAGATTCAGGGGCCAGGCGCCTCTTGGAGTTAACAGCTCCTTTGGACTCTGGGCATCACCAGACCTGGGTCCACTACTTCTTGTGGGAAAGGCAACCCATGTATCCCCATCCCCCAAGCCACCCCAGCACAAGCCAGGCACTTACTAGATCCCAGACGTGTACACGGGCTGCATGGCTTGGTAGAGCTTCAGGAAGGGCCGGCACGCTGAAAGGGAGGCACACCAAGGAAAGACAGGATTGTTAACTCACGCACAGATGCAACATGACTGGACTTCCAACCAGAGGACTGCTTTACCCAGAGGGCCACGGAGCGCAGAAGCTACCTGCAGTTCAGCAAGTTCGCCTTACTCCCAGTGGCCAGGGGGACCAGAAGCCACAGATACCCACTGATGAGTGAGCACCTACCAGGATGCAACAGAGACAAGTCCTGCCCCCAGACACATGCTGTGTGTACCTGAATTGGGACAGGGGACAGGGTCTCTGGCTACATGCTGTAAGCACCTCCATGAAACAGGGAGACAGGATCCATGGGAGTATGCCATGGAGGAAAACAGAAAGGACCCCGGGTTAGGGGATGGTCTACCGTGCTGGCTTCTGTCCGCTATGGAAACCTTCAGAAGAAGCACACAGCTGAACCGCAGAGCTGCTGACTCAGAAAGACTCTGGCCTAACGAGAGTTCTGCATCCGGGTCACAGGGCTATTGTCAGCCCTTCACAACTGCCTGTCCCTCCTGTGGCTGATGGCTTGGTCCCACCTTACACAAGCCTGAGCTCCTCCCACACACTGGGGCTGTGCACGCCTCCAGGAAGCACAGGTACAGAATCTAGATACCATTACTGGAGGGAAAGGCTGCTATGCTAATTCAGCTCTGGTCTGGGATGAAAAGCCTGTCTCTCTCACCTCCTCCGGTGTCGAAGTTGGGGGCGCCATGCAGAATGACGAAGTGCAGGAACAGGGGTGAGGCGTTCATCTTCATCGCTCCAGATAGCAGCCCGCTGAGAAACTGCACATACCTGTGGGGAGACAGTGGCTAAGGACCCACAGCTGACCCCCAGACGTGGAGTCTCAGGAGCAGGTAGCGGGGAATGGAAACTGTGCCTGGAGACCCTGGGACGCCCTGGGACGCCAGGTCCCACTGTACACAAGTAGAGATTGTGCCGTGCTTGGGGCTGGGGGAGTCACGGCCTGGATGGAGCTCTACCCACTGTTCTGGGAACTGCTGACTATGTCATTTATGTATAAGCATCTCTTTCCTGTAGACACCCACACCTGAGAAGGTCTCCTCATCTGTTCCCCTGACAGCAACCCATCATAGCCAACAATCCCCGGGAACCTGCAGCACCTCTCTTGGAATCTGCCTGTTTTCTTGTCTTTCTCAACCATGGCATGACACTCATTGCAAGAGGGAAGGAACCAAACAAGGAAAGATCCCAAAACATGCCGTCAGACTAATGGTCCAGGCATCAAGCAGGAAGCAGAAGTGACTGTCACCAATACAGGGACACAGGGTCCTCATACCTCCAAGTCCCTGGGCGAACACCTTACAATAAGAAAACACTTTGAGTGCCCACTGCCAACGTAGACTCAGCCTCCTTGTCAAAAAAGCTGAGTTTGGATGTAAAACAAACCAAACAGGAAGCTTTCAGTAAGTGTTTGCCCAACTTAGGGTCTATCCTTTCAGAAAGCTTTGGCATAATTCACAAGTATCCCCTTCACTGGCTGGGCGGTGGTGGCGCACGCCTTTAATCCCAGCACTCGGGAGGCAGAGGCAGGCGGATCTCTGTGACTTCGAGGCCAGGCTGGACTGACAGCCTCCAAAACAATACAGAGAAACCCTGTCTCGTAAAAACCAAAAAAAAAAAAAAAAAAAAAGTATTCCCTTCACTGAAGAGAAGATACACAGTGACAGGCAGTAACAGGTTGTTCTTCTTGTTAGGATGAAGGCTAACCGACCCAAGCCACGGACGCCTGAGGTCCCCTCCACACTGCCCCAGGAGCCTACTCTGACAGCAAAATTTCCTGACCTATGACCTGCTGTGTGCCGGTACAGAAGGGAGAACCACGCTGGGACCCATTACCTACACCCTGTACTTGGCAGAGCTCATCGGTAGGCTTGGCTCTGTGGCCTTGAGCAATGGTAATGGATCCCACACAGGCTCAGGATGGAATCCCTAAGACTACGTTTAAGACAGTGCTTCCCTCTTCCTGGCACTGGATAATACCAGACACTAGGAAATGTGTGTTCCTGGCTTGTCTTTCCTGTGAGGGGACTCTACTGCAATCTGTACCTGGCCTGACCCCTTGGATGAGACAGATCTCGACACACAGGGACTTGGAGGTATGAGGGCTGTGTTGGTGAGGGTCACTTCCTGCTCTGATACACACCCCAACTCAGGCACTAGGGTGGAGGGTGCATGCTCACATTTCCTCACACATGACAAACGCTGTGTATGTAGTTCTGCAACCAGATTTGTGACTGCCACTCTATGTAAGGGACAAACCGTTCAGAGAGCTGACACTTCCCCCTGCCCAGGGGTCACCAGCTCCTATCAATACTACAGATGGGGAGCTTCCAAGATGTTGACTGTCTGTCTGAGATTGCTGTCCATGTGTCAGGCAGCATTGAGCTTGTCTGTCTTGATGTCCACGTGTCACACACAACATAAAAAGTGTTTTTGGGTTTAGGGTTTTGGTCTTCTATGCATGATGACGTGCCTGTGATCCCAGCACTGGGGAGATATAGGCAAGATGTTCATAACTGTGACAGCAACAGAAATCTGCATCTGCATAAGGTTGCTCATGAGCCACCCATATGCAGGTGATCACTCAGGAAGGGAAGGCAGACCCCCACACACCCCAGGTCTCAAGTTTCCTCATTGAAACTTGCCCTTAACGGACATCATCTTCCAGGTTCTCCACTAGAGGGCGCTCAGTTCACAGGGGACTCCCCTGTAAGCCTCAGTATCTACAAGGTCTACATCCACAGATTCAGGCAACATCAGATCAGACATCCTGGAGGAAAAGAATCTGCATCTCTGCGGGAGGCATGCAGGTTATTTTCCTTCAGTGACTCCCCATGCAGTACAGCCAATAGATCATAACAGCGAGGCACTCAGTGCTGACACTGTCTTTAGTGTTAATGGAACTTGGAAGGTTTACAGTGGATAGACAGCTAATCAGCCTGAAAGAAAGCAGAGTGGACAAACTGAAGACCATCGTGGCAATATTGTCAGGAAGACAAATACTGTGTCTTCTCACAAATGCCAACCCAGATTTTATGTATATGGTACACACACACACACATGCACGCACGCACGCACAATCTGGGGGAAGGAAGGGGACCAGTGGGAGGATATGAGCATAATGCACAATATACGTTTATCAAATGTTGTAACAGAATCCATTTTTGTGGACGTTAGTAAAACTAGAAAACAGAAGAATATACAGCGACACTGCACAAATACCGAGCCATTTTATGCAAAGGACTTGGGTATCCGCAGATTATAGGCAGGATCTAGATCCAGTCCCCTCCCACTCCCAAGAGGTTCTGGGCAATTTCTTCTTTGTCCACGGTTGCTTAGAATACTGAGTTTCTCAGTCACAAATCCTAAGTTTCTCCCTCAACCTAAAGAGAGCTAATTATGGTCTTGACTTTGAAATTATTTCCTGGCTTCGTTCCCAGCATAACCTTCAGAAAAGCACCCTCCTGTCCACAGGCATTCAGACAACAGGGAGGTGCATAGTCCCATGAGAGAAGTTATCACACACTCTTTCTGGTCTCTGATGTTTCCTGAGGTCCAGCTGAAGCATGCATTCAGTTGTTGGACCACTCAGTAATTACCTGGTTAGTGTCTTCTAATATAGGCACCAGGCGAGGCAGCATGAGAAGCAACAGAAAGCGGCGGCCCTAATCTCAAAAGCAGAGCAGTAGCTGGGAATGCAACACTGAGCCCTGCTGTCACTATAAAATGCAAGCCCGGAAGGAAACATGAGAGCTGGAGCATTTTAAAATGAGATGTTTTCCCTGTGTCTACCCTCACTCCAATATCATTAGAAGCTACTAATTCTGTAAGTGGAAAATCCTGGCAGCCACGCTTGCCTGCTGGGTCCAGGCATTTGTGGGAGTCGCATCTTGTTTGCACTTCATCTTCTGTGCAAGTCTTAGGAATGTTGTCATTTTGAAAACTGGAAAAATAATACTTCAGGAGTTCAAAACAGAACCAGGGGCTGTTTAAGTGGAATCGTCTTAGTATGCTGAAGTTTGCAAAAGTGGCTTCCCTGTGGGGTCTGTTGCTTAAAACAGGACACTGTCTGGCTTCAACCCAGGGTCCCACAAGGTACCCCACATTCTTCCAGCCTAGGCCTGTCTGAGCGGACCCAAACCAGTAGAGTCACTATGTCTGCTGGTCCAGCCTGCAGTTTCGCTGGAGAAAGCAGACGTGAAGGATCAAGGCTCACATACAAGGGCTCGGAGCTACAACTAAATCCTGTCTCCAAAATGCGAGTCATTTTCATCTGCTTTTGGAATTCTTGGACAAATTCTGGTGTCTGGCTTGAGACAGGACTGCAGTGAAGCCACGTGAGTGCCTCAGAAGGAGAAAGCCCTGCTCCCTGACAGCTGCGTGTCAGTACATCCAGGGGCCACCACATGCTGCAGCTAGGACAGGCTGGCAGGAAACACCCAAGAGAAGGGCTGCCGCTGTAGAGGTCAGCCTCGGATGATCTGAAACCCCCATTTGTGTCAGTAAAGTTATTAGGACACAATCGGAGTCACTCGCTTCCATACAAGATACGGTTGGTTTGGGTTACAACACTGGGGAGTTGAAGACCACACAACCTGAAGCATCTACCTACCGCTAGCCTCTCCGTCAAGTTTACAGATCCCCGTTCTGCTATGGCAGACAGACGTGAGTTCAACATGCCCATGGAAAACAGAGCTCACACTTGGATGGAGACAAAGACCCTCAGGGCCGAAGTGAGAGGTGGCCTGAGTCACCCTATCTGGGAGTGACCATGGTGGCACACAGGCCTCAACAGACACACGGCTTTCACTAGACATACAGGGTGATTCACATCCTTGCCTTGGGAAGCAGCAAACCCCTCCCCCATATTCTTAGGCCAGACCCAAAGGCAATGCAGAGCAGAGGTCAGAGGACCTCTGGCCCCAAGAGAGACGCATACCTCTTCTGAGAGGGCTCCATTAAAGCTGAGACTTTGTCGTCATAAAACTTCTTCATTGCAAACCTGTCCAGGGCCTGGTCAGCGCTGGGGAAGGAGAAGTGAGGGAGGAGAATGAGTACGTATGTCAAGTCAGTGGTGTCGCAGCTGAATGGCCAGGATGCACACCCCTGTCTACCAGTGACATTCTCCCACAACGAGCCACACCGTGCACACACAGACTACACTGAACTCCAGCCTGGACTCCTCATCTAAGGGTGTGATACTCAGATGTGCCCCTGGCTCACAGGGAGAGGAACTGGCTGAAAGGGTCCCGGGGGCCTAACGCCTGGAGGATCAAAGCTAACATGTGGGCACAGTGTGCACCCTGTGAAGTCTCGGAAGTATACTATGTGACACTTGACAAGCTGCTTCACAGGAAGGCTTGAAGGTAGAGGACAGGGCGAGGCTGATGGTTAGGAAGGTGTGCGGGGCTTGGGCTTCTCTGGGTATTTCTAAAGTAAGGCCACAGAAAGTGAATCTACTTTGCAACAGCCTAACTGACCTTCAAGCCCACCCCCAATGTTCACATCAGTACTCACAGAACCTTCTGGAAACCTCACTGTGGGGTACTCTAGAGTTGCTGACCTGACCCAAGCCATGACTTATTTAAAGACTTATTTAAACCAAAAGCATCCTTAAAATTCAGCCAGGCAGCCGGACATGGTGGCACATGTCTTAAATTCATTAATCCCAGCACTCAGAAGGCAGGGGCAGGCAGAGGTCTATGAGTTCAAGGCCAGCATGGTTCACGTGGTAAGTTCCAGGCCAGCCAGGGCTACATGGTTAAGACCTTGCCTCAAAGAGTAAACAACGACAAAAATCAGATAGGCATATGAGTTCTCCATTGAAAATGTGTTATGTACCCTCCAGAAAAGTGACAGATACTTAACATGGCATTCGCAAAACACGTGCGGAGATAAGGAGGACGAAGGAAACCACCTAAATAAGCTCAGTGTGAGTGAAGCCTAACTCACTTCATGTGCTTGTTTCAACACAACACAGGGCTTGGCCAGCAAGGCTGGCCATCCCAGCCCAGAACATGTCAGACAGCAAGTGCATGTGTCTCCCAGGCTGAAAGACATCTAAGCATTCTCTCTTCTGGAATCCATGCACTCAATTAGGTTTTGAGAAAACACCCTGGCCAGTGTTGACGCTTAGTTTTGGCATCATTCCTCCTCTGAACTCTCCAGAGTGCCCAGAACAAGAATGTTCTCTCTCTGTGACTTGGCATCTCTGCTTTGTGACACTTGCAGAATAAACTTAAATCGGATGTGTCCCTGTCTAACGTAGTACCTAAGGGGTGAGGGAGACTGGGCACATGTGTAAGAGTAGCAGCTCTTAGGGGGCTGGAGAGACGGCTTGGAGGTTAAGAGCACTGGCTGCTCTTCCAGAGGTCCTGAGTTCAATTCCCAGCAACCACATGGTGGCTCACAACCATCTGTAATGAGATCTGGTGCCCTCTTCTGGTGTGCAGACAGACATACTGCACACATAATATTAAAAAAATTTTTAAAAAGGCCGGGCATTGGTGGTGCACGCCTTTCATCCCAGCACTCGGAAGGCAGAGACAGGCGATCCCTGTGAGGTCGAGACCAGCCTGGTCTACAGAGTTCCAGGACAGCCTCCAAAACAATACAGAGAAACCCTGTCTCGAAAAACAAAAACAATAACAAAAAAATAAAAAAGAATAGCATCTTAAAGAAAAGGGAAAGCAACCTGGTAGGAAAATGTAGTAAATGCTTAAATATGTAATAACCAAATCCAAGGACTACAGAGCCTCACAGCCTCCAGAGCTGTACAGGGGCAGATGTTCATGAGGTGGGATTAACTTAGAAGAGCAAGAGACAAAAAGTGCAGTGATGGCCACCCACTTAACAGGAAAACACCCCTGCTGAGCAGCAGCAGCAGTGGCTGCTCAGACTGCACTCTACGGGTAGATACATACAGAATGGCCACAGCATGAGGAGGTTCGACTTCAGTTCTCAAGGTTCAGATGAGGTCAGGATGCTGACTGAGGTCCAGAGAGATGCATGCATACTTCCTGACATTTGCATGTAACGTACCAGCGATACAGAGAGAGCAGTGTTTTACAGCTCTGGGGACAGGCTTTGGGGAAGCAGGGCTGGTTTCCCAGATGGAGCAGTGCCTACAGTTGGGGAAACGTCTCTAAACTGCGCTCACTCGGGTGGTCTGTATTAAGAAACAACCGGGCTAAGTGTGGTCTCCGACCAAATTCCTTTCACATAACTGAGGGGCCACTGTGCCTGGGAATCTGCATGTGGCTGGCACGCACATGATACTCATTCAAACCCACAGGGCTCTCTCTGCTTTTCACCCTGGGGTAGGGTTTCCTCCTTGGCAGCGCCAGCCTCTCCATTTGTTTCCAGAGAAAACATTCCAAAAGTCCAACTTCACTCCTTCACAGCGCAGAGGAGAGGTTCACAAGTGAGATGTGGGGGCTCCGGTTTCCCCAGCATGGAATGGCCTGTGTGCGCACACAACACAGCTATTGACACGGCCGGGAGCGTGCACAAGCCACCAGGAATGATTACTGTCTTTTCTTGTGCCGTGCTAGGGAGGAATCTGAGGTCTTGTGTCCACTAGGCAAGGGCATTAAATTAAGACACACTCCTACCCAGTGACATTTTCTAAGCTGGAGTTTAGTCTCAGCAGAGACCTGCGGTGCCTCAGAAGACAGGAGACACCCTGACTGTCCCATGCCTGGATGGCTGCGCTAAGGCCAGGATCCTATTATCTTAGAGGAAAACACACAGCAGACTTCCGAGAACATGTAAAAAAAAATGGTGATTGTCAATATCACAATTTACAAGGTGTAAAGTGACCCGGTGAGGATGTCAACATGGTGACATCAGCTGTCACTTTTCATTACAGAACGACTGGGCTCACTCAGTTTTATCACCTTCACAGAGCTCCCTGGCATCAATCACACAGAACATGACTTTTTCAGCCTTGCGGAAGCTGAGGTCAGGCACAGAACACTCCGGTGCTAAGGGACAGAGGGAAGACAAGGCTGGCTCCCAGGAAGACCACGGCCCACATATACCAACCCAATTTCCAGCACCCCGTGGAAAGGAGCCCCCGTCTCCATCCTACCTGGCTGAGACATTGGTGAAGTGCATGTAGGAGGATATGACCACTCCGATGCGTCCTTTGCCGCCCTGCAGGAGACCACAGAGGAGTCAACGTTCTTGCTACAGAATCCCACGTAGAGACATAACGAGACAGGAGCAGGCCAACCATGAGCAGAGTGACAGAGCAAGCATCGATCCCGCTGCCTCCCTAACCCTGGCGAGCCTTCTCGGTGGGGAGTCTTCACACAGGGGCCCATAACAAGAGCAGGTGCTAGCTGGGTGTCTGCAGAAGTTCCCAGAGGGCATATTCACATGGCACCAGCCAGTCATTCACCGCCTCCCAATTAGGTTAGGTGAGCCGGTGCCAGGAACTGCAGCAATTAGCATGACTTAATTACCCAGGTGAAACAGGAATGAATGCCCTGCCCAGGGGCTGACAGTGGCAGGGCTGTGTGTGTGTAGCTCTGAGTGACAACAGGGCTGTGTGTGTGTGTGTGTGTGTAGCTCTGAGTGGCAGGACCTCTGAATATGGTGAGCTGGTGGCATCCCACACCAGTGCCCAATACCATACTTTACACAGGAGGGGGGCAGGGACCAGGTGGGGGACACGACTGGCTATACACAGGAGGTAATCCGCATCCTAGGCAGGTGCTATGGAAGTCCTTCTAGGCACAACCACATTCACAGTCAACGTTACCAGCAAGAGAGGAAGAAGCTCCATGGCAAAGCACCCCTCCTCAGAGCCACAGACTGAACTGAAACCTCAGGATACACTACTGCGACATACCAACAGGGGTCTGCAAATGGCAGCCCATAAGCCGTTTCCGTTGTGCCCACCAACTCTTTTCCACAATCTGTGAGCTAAATTTTATCATCACATATTTCTAAGCATTGTAGAAAGAAAAACAGAATCGGTTTGTGAGACGTATGAAAATCACATGAATCTTGAACGCCCTCATCATCTGCCTGGAACCTGGCTGCTTGGCTTCAGCAGCCCCCGCCCACCCTGCAGGCTTGAAGAACTCTTGGAAGGACCACCTGGCATGCAGAGCCTAAAAGTCTCTCTAGCTCTTTTGAGAAACATTTGCCAAACCTTCATCCCAAATCATGCAAAGCCAAACTGGAAGGTCACCAATTTGTACCTCCCCAGCTCTAGTCTTTTCTTCCTTTTGTTTTCCCCTAAAGTCAGTTCTAGAGACTGGACCTTGTGCACACAAGGAGGCACTTTATAACTGAGCTACATGCCCAGCCTTCAGCTCTATTCTTAATAGCAAGTAAATGAACAAACTCAAAGTCTTCATAAGTCAATCATCATGTAAAGCTGGGCATGCTGGGAGATACCAATGCAGATGTTTGGCAAATTCTTGGCAGTGCAATCCTGGTTCTTGGCATTATTAGCTAGAAAGCTACTAATGCTACTAATGTATTCTTGCATTAAATGGTATTTGTCTTAAGAAGAGAAATCACTTAGAAGGAAACAGCAGCTCAGCCAAAAGCAGACCCACACAGGATGGTCTTTACTGCTGATGCCATCAATAATTTGCGTGGCTCTGGTTATGATGCAAAGGAGAGATGAGGCCAGGGGAGTGGGGGGCATTACAGCAATAGTGGGGACCTTGACAGTTCATCTCAGGAGGACACAGATCATCCAGACAAGAAATAACTAAGGAACTCCGACCCAACTGCCTTTCGGACTAAATGAACCTATCACACGTGGACAGGGCATCCCACCACCACCACCAGCAGAATGTGCTTCAAGGTCACAAAGAACAGCCCAACGATAGTTCATACAAGAAGCCACAAAGCAAGTCCCAAGAGGGTAAGCCTGAACGAGACCCTATCAAGTACCCTTTCTGACCACCGTGGTGGGAAAGCATAAACCAGAATGGGGGACGGGGGATGGGGACTTGAAACTTCTCAAAACTGTAGACGTTAGAGAACACGTTACTGCACAGCAATTCAGTCAAACAAGGGGTTAAAAGAATGCTTCAAAATATATCGAGACATGGGCTAGAGAGATGGCTACAAAGTGGTTGAGCATTGGCTGCTCTTCCAGAGGACCTGAGTTCAATTCCCAGCAACTGCATGCTGGCTTACAATCACCTGTAATTTCAGTTCCAGGAGATCAAATACCCTTTTGCTGGTCTCCCCTGGCACCAGGCACACATGAGGTGCACAAACATACGTTTAGGCTAAAACACCCATTTACATAAAAGAAATCAATATATTGAGACAGATGGAAAAAAACACACTAAAATTTTATTGGATACAACAAAATCAGTACTAAGGGGGAAGTTTATAACATTAAATGTCCACATCTAAAGAGAGAGGAAAGATGTCATATTGAAAAACCTCAAAAACACTAAACTACACACAAAGGTAATATAAGAAAGAAAATAGAAAAAAAGTAGAGCAGAATAAAACAGAGATTCAGAAAACAGAAAGGATCAACAAACTGAAAGTTGTTTTTTTTTTTAAGCTAAATTAAAATCAGCAAACCTTTGGCTAGGATTTAAAGGAGGGACGACTGAAACCCGAGGACAGAAATGAAAGGGAAATTGCACAGCCAACTACACACAATGCAAAGGCCCTGGAAGGCTACCATGGACAACTGCAGGCCCATAAAGTGGACATCCAGGTGAAATTGAGTCCCTACCATGGACAACTGCAGGCCCATAAACTGGACATCCAGGTGAAATTGAGTCCCTACCATGGACAACTGCAGGCCCATAAACTGGACATCCAGGTGAAATTGAGTCCCTACCATGGACAACTGCAGACCCGTAAAGTAGACATCCAGGTGAAATTAAGTCCCCCAGAGCACACAACCTGCCCAGAAAAATCCGAACAAGGTAAGGGGATCCAGTCAGTACTAAATCTCCCTCCAAAAGCCCAGCAACACATGTCTTCATGCAGACTGCGCCAAGCATGCAAAGAAATGATGACAATCCTAAAGCTCTCCAAAAGACGAAAGATGGGGGGCACGGCCAAGGTCATTTTAGGCGGCCAGCCAGGCATCCCGATGTGATACCTGGGTGTATATCTAAGCTTCGTGTGCACGGTGCAAGTTCTCCATCGGGCAGCGAGGGTGAGGGAGGGAACCTAGTGTGTCCTCATTCCTGTCGGACTCCAAGTGCAAACACCGTAAGAATTTCCACCTTCAGGTCAGCTCTAAGCTCACAGGTCGTAGGAAAACACACGTAGCGGGTGAGACGCACCTGCGGCTACAGGCTCTTCGTGTAGGCAACAGCCTTTTGGGCTTCCAGTTCTGTTCTGACCTTAACAAAAATCCCAGACTCACGCCAACCAGCATCTGACGGGAATCTTCCTCGCCACAGACTCCCAAACAAGGTGTAAAATGTGGAAGACGTTCCCACCAGAAAGAAGCATGGCCTCTTTCAAGTTGGCAACGGCTTGGGCACATGCTGAACACAAAACACCCCCTTGCAGCCAGCAGGAGAATGGCTACTGCAGCTCAGCTGTACTCTGCCCCTGCCCTCACTGAGACAGGTCTGTCTAGCAGTCACTCTGGCATGTGTGAAAGGAAACACCCACTCTGCAAAGCCAGCAAATTCCAGTCCTGCACGATAATGGTGAACTTTGGATGGCATCGGCAACCGCAACTTCAGATGAAAAGCTGATCTCTCATGGCACCTTTTCTGGGTATTTCAAAAGTAGTTTAAAGCAATGTGCACCCCCATAGTGGATAATGATGGGGAACTTCACAAGTCCAACATAGACTGGACACCCACTCAAAGAGAGCCCAAAATCATTAAGGAAGGAGGTGTTTTCATCTTTGGTGATCCATATGTTTTCAATCACATTATACCTCATCTCAATTTCAGTAACATTCAGAATGGACAAGTAGAACAGAATAGATATAAAGGGGCTTTTAAAAGTCTAGCTATACCAGAAACCTCAGACCTACGAATTCTAAAGCCTAACTGTGGGCTTGGGGTTCACTTTATTTTATTTTATGATGAACAGGAAATCTAAAATGCACACCGACATGGAGCATGTCACACCAACTACACGGTGGTTTCCAAGACAATCATCGGGTGCCTGTGACCAGCACCCACTTTAACCCCTGTGACCCCTTAAACGCTGGAAGCCCAGCTGGCCCTCCAGAGCATGTGCGAGCAGGGACACTCACCCTACAGTGGATGACGACCACATGCTGGGGGTCACTGTTCAGCCAGGACTCCTGGGCTTTACATATGGTGCACATCTTGTCCAGAGGTGGTGCATGTAGTTCAGGCCAGCCCACATCCATGGTCTGCAAGAGAGAAGACAGCTGCCTCAGTTTCCACTTCCTGGACCTTTCCGTGGTAATCTCATGGTGATGTGATCGACTTGGGAGTCACGGGGGGGGTCGTGTAGGCCTCTTCTGAAGGCTGATGCACCCAGGTGCTGGTCTGCTCCTTTGTAGCTGGGTGACACTTCTACAGAGGCCTTTCAGAGGTGACTGTAGAGGAATCCAAGGTCCTCCAAGGTCTAAAACAGTAGTCTATGGCCCACAGTGCTGTCAAATATTGCCCTTTCAAGCTAAAATGGGAGTCTGGCAAATAGTGAACCCAGTGTTTCCATGAAGACCACACTTCAGGGACACAGAGTCCTCTAAAAGCAAGGAAGCACCTTCAAGTTTTGCTTCTATTTGTCACATGAACACACACACACACACACACACACACACACACACACACACACACACACACACACACACACACCACTGAGAAGGCCAAAGCCCCAAACAAGCAGCCCTGCATCTAGCCACACGTGTGGGAGGGTCACATGGGGGAGTCGCTTGTCCTCCTATATTCTATTTTCAGGAGATGAAAGTAACAGGAAGGAGTTCAGTAAGTTGGACCACAGCAAAAGCAGCTAGCATACCAGCTCCATGAAGCTCTGGGCCCCTTTTCTGGACACCCAACATAATGAGACACATAAATTCTATACTATGCTCTTACTAGTAGGTCTGGGACCAGAATTAGTTTAGAGTTGTTTCAGATTCTGAGTATTTGGTAGACTTTACCAGCTGGACATCCACACTCAGAAAAACCAAAATTGTAAATACAACAAAATCTGAACTTTCTCAACATGACAGCAACTCAAAAGTTTTGAATTTTAGAGCATTTTTATCCCAGGTTATAAGATGATGAGCCTGCATTGTTCTATTCTAATGGCTACAAAGCTTTTCAACACATAGAATACATATGTAAACACAGTCCCACAGTTCTAATTTTATCCCTAAATTTTGATACTAAGAACAATCATGAAAGAAGGGGATACTTATGACTATTAAGAGGTCTTAGAACAGACATCTTCACGCCAATGCGAAGGCTCTTGCACTTGGGTTGTGGTAGCTAACAAACTTAGGACAAGCTAAAGTGGCAGAGAAGCACAGTAAATGAAGCCTGTGGGCTCCAGGGGTGCAGCTCTTCCGACACAGGTGTTTTATAAATGAGCATCCCTCGCCAAAGCACATCAGGTCAGACAGATGGGTTTTTGTCTATTTCAAAATCTGGGATGTCTGCACATACATGTATCTTGGAAACAGGACATATGCCTGAACACATAATAAATCCATTTGTTTCATACACACCATATGTATAGCGCCTTGAGGCAATTTTTCGTATTTTCAATAATGCTGTATGTCATTTCCAGGGTGTGGCATTTTCCTTCCATGGTGTTATGGTGACATGCAACAAAATTCTGCCTCTAAGAAAAAGTTATTTTCTTCTGTATGAGTGGGTGGTGTGCACACGTAAGTGCAGTGCCTGCGTCCTGCAGAGGCATCTGACCACCCTGGAGCTGGAGTTACAGGTAGCCGTGAGCTGCTACCGTGGGTTCTGAGGATCAAATCTGGGTCCCCTGCAAGAGTCCTAGGTGCTCTTAACTACTGAGCCGCTGCTCCAGGCCAAGTGTTAGCTTTGAGGAGCTAGAACTTCAGATTTTCAGATGAGGGATGTGGGGCCTGTGTAAGTATTATAAATCGCTTCCACTGATGGAGACAAAGTGAGAGGTATACAGGACCTCATGTCCTAGGCATCTGTTATTTTTAATTTTCAAAGCAAACAAAGGATAGAAACAGTCCTTACTATTCCTTGATACCAAACTATGTTCCACAAAGCCTATGAGAAACAACTTTTGCACAACAAAACATGCATCACTTACATTTTACAAAATCAAAAAATGAAGAAATAAATCCCATACCTTTGGATTAAGCTTTGTAAGGTCATATCTCTTCTCTGAAAGGTTTAATACCTACAAAGGGAAGAAACGATGTTAGACAAAGCATGGTTCCCAGAGAGGAAGGAAAATGCACAACTACATTGAAACAGTTGCCTCTGAGCATCAAGGACCAAAAGAGACCTAAAGGCACAGATGTATGTAGCCACAGGACAGAAACGAAGGCAGATGTGGACGAACCTCTGTAAGTCCTGCATGCACCTTTTGTTTTAAAAAAATGAGCATTTTTTCTGGCTAAAATGGGAATTGGTAAACTCCTGTTGGTTGTCGCTGTTGTTGGTTTGGTTTGCTTTGCTTTCTGTTTTTTAGTCTCAATGGATGCAGACATTTGAAAACATAAGGCCTGTACACACAAACCTGCAGCTCTCTCTTCCTGGTCCTTTCAGCACAAGGGACACTCTGGGAACAGGAAGTACTCGTTCCTCAGTAGAGGAGCCAGGTAAGGAAAAGCCTGAGCTGGAGACTTCTCACTGGCAAACCACAGCTGTGTGTGGAATCCAGCCTAGCAAAAGACCACCGGTGCCCTCACAGGACACATGGCTCCTCCTTAACTCAGCCTGTTACTTCCGGCCCACTCAGTGTCCGCCCCACTCACACCTGCTTCACTCAACAGCACTCAGCTGCCCTTCCGTGGAGGGCACAGAGCACACCGCCTGCCCAGCGACACCGCTGTGAGGGCCTTCTGTCAAAGTGTGCGGTTTGGAAGGCCCTCAGCTGTCTCTTTGGGAAGCGTAGGAAGAAAAGGACTGGTCTGGGCCCAGCTTTCCCTGGAGGAGCCCTGGTCCTGAAGAGGTTGCACTGTGATGGGAGAGGCGTGGCCTTCTTGGGGGCCAGGATGCTACTCTCCTATCCACGGTCAGGACAGACCTCCGGGAGCCCAAACCCTGGAAGAAGTCACAGGCACTTCATGTAGAGACTATCCTGGAAGCGACAGCTATTGGTCCCCACGGAGTCTAGCCATGGGAAAGGGCTGCTGTGGGTGACAATAACCTCCTTGTTGTCTTTGTAAGATTAGCTCTCCAGAGATAAGGCGGCAGCATGAGAAGGTGCTAGATAGAAGCTGTCGTGTAATCTAAGCAGAGATTACAGCAGCAAAAAGAGGCTCTGTGGGGCTGGCAGCCCTGGAAGAGAACAGGGCCGATCAAAGGGAGGAGTGTGAGGAGCCGTTCTTCTCCTCAAATGCGGTCCCCCTCTTAGTCAAATGCGGCCCCCTCGTAGCACACACGCTGTGAAGTCAGGCTGCCTCCACTTGCCCCCCAGCACTGCCCTTGTTTCCTGGACACCCCCCCCCTCGCCTTTCCAATGCACTACACAGCAGGAGGCTGCTTCCCAATACCAAGGATACCTACCACCTGGCATTAACTAGGGATAGCTGACTGGGCATACCTACAGTCCCAGGAGCCAATCTTACTGATGAGAACTCGTGATCAGTGCTGGACAGAGGCGGAAGCCACCCCTATAGTCGACTGTCACAACCAGTAAGAGCACAGCTTACAGTGGAACGGCAGAGCACACGGCCAGCCCCCACTGCCTAGACCATTCCTCTCTGCGAGCAAGGCACACGCCCATCAAGGCCCTCACATGCCCTCTGGAGGACCCCCGCCTAGAGCCCCAATGCCACACTGTGGCTATCCTGCCCGCTCACCAGGTAGTTGTCTCCATGCTTGGACTTGAGCATGCGCGTGACTTCCTGCAGGCTGTGCAAATACGACTCCTCTGAACAGCTGGCAGGGAAGGACACCGCGATGATACGCTCTGTGACGTACGTAAGGTCCAGCTCATGGCTGTCCTCCATGGCTGCACTCAGGACCAGGGGTCTGTAAGAAGAGAGCAGGCAGTGGGTAAAAGGATACAAGAAAAGGATGAGCACTTTTTCAGGAGAGAGCTGGAAACGGCAGCTTCCTGAGAGTCTCACCGCAGTCCATCCACATGGTTCCCCGCGCACTAGGTTACGTGAGATCTACCGTAGGACAAGACTGAGCAGAAGCAAGGCGCCCACGGTGACCACGGGGGCTATGCAGGGGAGGAGCCAGGAGAAGAGTACTGGGGCACGGGCAGAAAGCACGCGGGCACACAGAGAGGCCTGTCCGGCTCCACCGTGTGCCGACTGGCTCTTGGAGAAGGAGCAGAACCCTGGCTCCAAGGCATCAGGATCAGCATGAGGCAGCTGATGCAAGCGCACCTCGGACAACAAGAATGCTGTAAGGGGGACCAGAGATTACAGAAGCCAGCAGCCACCCTGTCTGCATGCTACTCCTGGGGAAGAGGCTAGGGAAATAGACTGGACAGACTATGGGGGAGGATGGCCTGTGCCGGAAGCCTAGAGAAGAGGCTAGACCCAGCACTGGAAAGTGGATGAGGCAGGACATGATGAGAGTGATGGTTCTGCATGGAGGTCGCCTTCTCCCTTTAGGCTCTTTGGGGAGAGCCTCAAGTGAACAGAATGCAGGCGTCTGCACTCGGGATCAGGGTGCAAATCCAAGAGACAGGGCTGAGGGCTAGACCCAATAGAAAACACTAAGGGGAATCAGAGCAGGGCATCACCTACCCAACTCACCGCCACCACTCCCAGGCTGCTTGCCTGGGTTTATTTTTCCTACTTTTATTGTATGATTTTCTCTGCCTTCCCTTGGCTTTGAGAAGAAAAAGGTCTAGCACACCTCTGTGTGCCCATTCATCCTTCAAACCACCAGATGTTTCCATCCCTATTCATCCCTTCACCCCCACCAGCACCCTGCAGTCTCCACCCGACTGCTCACCAGCTTCTGCCCAGCAGCCCACTCTACTCTTACAAGCCTAGATATTGTTCATCTAAAAAAAAAAAAATAGTGCCAGGCATACTTCCTTAATCCCAGAACTCAGGAAGCAAAGGCAGGCAGATCTTTGTGAGTTCTTAGCCAGCCCAATTTACATAGGATTGACTTCCAGGCCAGCCAGGATTGCCCAGTGAGACCGTGTCTCAGATGGATGGCTGGATATAGACAGACAGACAGACAGACAGACAGACAGACAGACAGATAGATAAGATAGAGACAGAGAGAGATACCAAGAGTTTTAGAAGATTTTATAAAATCATCTATAATGTCATTATCATGCCTAAGAGTAGAAACACGTATTCAAGCCAGGCGTTGGTGGTACACGCCTTTAATCCCAGCCTGGTCTACAGAGCCAATGCCAGGATAGGCTCCAAAGCTACACAGAGAAACCCTGTCTCGAAAAATAATGAAGGAAGGAAGGAAGGGAGGGAGGGAGGGAGGGAGGGAGGGAGGACTATAAATTTGTTTTTTACAGTTGACTTGTTTAAGTGTTTTTAAAGATTTTTTTCCTTTTCCATCTTATTCTTTAAACATGGACATAAAAGTTTCAATTTTTGTAATGAACCAAATTAAACACTCGTAACAATAACAACAACATGGCCTCTTACAGCTATCTCAGACCACAAAGCGCTGCCTCCCAAAGGTTCTGTCTGCTTACTGAGCTGAAGGCCCTTGCTAGCTAGTGGCTGTTCCCAGGACAATGTCAACCCATTCCTCACCACTGACATCATACAATCAGATGTCAACAAGTGTCACTGTCAATCTCAAGATAATCACAGATGTTTCCACAATATAAAATCAAAAATGGTTTAAATGAGATGGTTTTTTCTTTTTCTTTTTTTTTTTTAATTTTATTTTACGTGCATTGAAGTGAAGGTATCAGATCCCCTGGAGTTGGGAGTTACAGACAGTTCTGAGCTGCCATGTAGGTGCTGGGAATTGAACCTGGGTCCTCTGGAAGAGCAACAAGTGCTCTTAACCGCTGAGCCATCTCTCCAGTCCCTAAACAAGATGTTTTACTTTTGATGTTTTATTCTTTTTTTTTTTTTTTTTTTTTTTTTGCTTTTTACGAGACAGGGTTTCTCTGTATTGTTTCAGAGGCTATCGGTCCAGCCCGGCCTCGAACTCACAGAGATCCGCCTGCCTCTGCCTCCCGAGTGCTGGAATTAAAGGCGTGTGCCACCACCGCCCGGCTTTGATGTTTTACTCTTAAAGAGGTAGTTGGGGGCAGGCTGGGGTGCTCAGTGGTAGAGCAGGTGCCTAGTGTGAACCAGGCTGTGGGTCCAATCCCCAGCCTACCTCCAAAAAACACCGTGATTGCTGCATGGTGGAGATCACCCCCACCCATGGCCAGCTTCTTTCCCTGAGGAACACTCACCTTGAAGGCTTGTCACCACGTTGAGCAGCAGGTGGGGTGGAACTCTCCGGAGCCTGCAAACATCAGAACACGAATGCTTCTGAGATTTCCTTACATACCAGCCCATATGGCACTGAGACCAAGCACCCAGCCCTGCTGCCACCACTGCCACCAGGAGGAAGAATGACAGCTGCCCCACAGCTTAATCATCGATGGTAAGCAAACACCGTCACACCCACCCTCCTTGTCACTCGGGAAGGTGTGCAACAGCTCTCAGTGGTGCTAAATCTAAACATACACCAACAGCGAGAAAACCCTCAGGTTCTAACTCCAGTTCACAGTGTGTATGCAAGGGCTGGGTTACACACCTAGGTCACAAACACACCTAGGCATGCCCCTCCATGGCTCTCTGCCCCATTCCTAGTGACACTAGGTGACATTGTGCTAAGAGGCAGAGAGCCTGTTTGGGGGCAGAGAACTGTGAATTTGACCCCATGAATACTCAGAAGCATCATATACTCCTAATTCTAATTTATACATGGACTCCTGTCCACTCACTGTGATTGCAGGGACAGAAAATAAGAGGGTCAAATAGGTCAGGAAAGCTGTTTTCTCAAAAGCATCCCAACTCGAAGCCTTCCGGGAAACAAGAAACCTCAAATAGGAAACCCCTACCTCCAGAGCAGAGACCAGAATCCACACCCTATGTTGGACATCAAGGTATTCAGAGCATTCAAGTTGCTGTACTCCACAGCACCTTCTCCCTTGGCTAGTGGAAACCTCTCTTCTCCTTCATTAGATGACAGAGCCAGGACCCATCCACGCCACCTCCATGCCCTTGGGGGGTCAATGGCATGCTCCATGTCATAGCTTGGAGCTCTGTCTAGCCTCAAATGACCACAGGCTTTCCTTCTCACAGCCAGGGAAGTCCTTCTGCCTCCAGAACCTCCTCCTTGGCCTCCCAACCTACACCTGTAACCCCTGAATCTGTTGAAAGACTCCAGGAAGGTATGATGTCCCTCAGAAGGCAGGAACTGAACTCAGACTAGACGATCTCGGAACAGAAACTGTATTATTAGAATACAAGTAACAGAAACTTCTAAGATTTTATACAAGTGCTGCTGATGTAAACTGAGTCCTGATCTGCGAGGACACTGTGAGTGGATATGACAGTGTTTAGGACCCATCAGTTCTCAGGAGGGATCCTAACATAGGACCCATCAGTTCTCAGGAGGGATCCTAACATAGGACCCATCAGTTCTCAGGAGGGATCCTAACATAGGACCCATCAGTTCTCAGGAGGGATCCTAACATCGGACACATCAGTTCTCAGGAGGGATCCTAACACGCTGACCAAGAGTGTGAGGCATAGGACATGTAGACTCCGTTTACATAACTGCAAAGGGCAAACAGCAAAGAAAGAGCTGGGACTAGGAAACCGTACAGCTCTGCAGGTGCCATGGATGCTCTATAATAGAAAAGCATCCTAGGGAGATGGTGGCCAATGGGTCCTGCCAACCTCCTGGCAAACAGGGGTAACAGGTGTTCCTCCACTAACAGTGGGCGGGTCCCTGAGAAACTCACCCAAAGTGGAAAATACCATAAAACAAAACTGAGTTTAAGGGTTGGAAAGATGGCTTGGAAGTTTTGAGAGCATCCTGCTCTTCCAGAAGACCTATAGTTCCCAGCACCTGCACTGGGAAGCTCATGACTGTAACTCCAGTTCCGGGACTCTGGAGCCCTCTTCTGGTCTCTGTAACCTACACACACACACTCTCTCTCTCTCTCTCTCTCTCTCTCTCTCTCTCTCTCTCTCTCTCTCTCTCTCTCTCTCTCTCTCTCACACACACACACACACACACACACACTCTCTCTCTCTCTCTCCCACACACACACACACACACACACACACACACACACACACACACACATACACACGCACAGACTTTTTAAAATGAGCTTAACATATATAACCTGGAGAATAACTTGGCAGCAACTGTTGCACTTCCCCCATGGGGGTCTGTTGACTGCTTGTGACTAGGAGCTTTTAGCTAAACACTTCTCGTCCCCTCCTCCCAGTCAGGCCTGCATGCAAGTTCCTGTTTTTTGTCCATCCTTTGTGTAAATGCTAATTCCTGTTTTTGGCCCACCCTTTGCCAGAAGGCCCTGGGAAAGTAGGCTTCTGACCTTGGTGCATTTTCCACCATACCTGCCTTTGGTGTATAAGACTCCACCCTTGTAATAATAAATGCCATTCTCCTTGTAAGCAGGAGCCACTGTCTTTGTCTTCATTCACATCCTTAGCCCTTTGCCTCGGATCGTTGTGAAGTATGGTAGCTCCGTAGCTGCACAAACACAGGTGGGTCACTACAAGCAACACCAAAGAGGTCGCCATGGCCCCTTGTGATCACACAGCTGACCAGTGCAGAGTGGCTGTCACTGCATGCTTTAGGATATACCATACAGCACAAGTTCAGGAAAAGACCTGAGTTCAAGTCAACATAGCTTCCACTGAATGCTCATCAGTTCCCAACCAGGTTGGGGTGGAGGGCTCATCAGTTTCCCTCCATGGGGGGTGGGGCTCCAGTCCAATCATCCTAAACTCGGATCATTGATATTTGAACCTCTCACATAACAGATTCCCACATCCACCTAGATGCAGACTGATGCTGAATGCAGGCTGGAACAGAAGTGTGGGAACACCAGACCTTGAGCAGAGATGCACTTCCCCTTCTGCCTGGGAGTAGGCAGCTGTAAGACAATGTTTACTAAAAACATGTTTACTAAAAACAATACAATGCCCGGGGGCAATAAGTTCCTGGAAAAGGCCTGCCCACAGAAACCACTCTGACCTCGACCTTGTCCAAAGACTAACCACCTCTTCTGACACACCCAGATCAGTTTTTGGTGTCAGAGCAGAACCAGCCAGGGGAGAGGAGAGAGCAGAAGCTTCTCTGGTGGGAGCTTTTCTTAGGAAGTTTTCTTGAACCTTTTTGGGGCCTGTTTAAAGTTTTCTTTACATCGTTGAACGAGTCTCTGTGTTGTCAATCCCCGACACCCTCCGCACGTTCTCGGACACAGGCCGCGCAGCAGACGCGACAATTGGAGGTCCCACCGAGATCATGAAAGCGAGATAAGTGGACGGGGCCGTCCCTTTTGCCAGCTAGGGACAGATGGAGGAAAATAAGAAAAGAAACAATGGGAAATAGTCCCTGGAAGTTTAAATTACAGTATCATGTAAAAAAGTTGCTTGAAGAACAGGGGACTACAACCATGGCAGGCTTTTTAAAATGGATTGAACGAGGGAGCCCATGGTTCATTACTGGGGAAGGCTTAAATGTCCCAGATTGGGAGGATGTTTGCTATGATATTCAGAGAGCCGGGTGTTGGTGGCATACGCCTTTAATCCCAACACTCGGGAGGCAGAGATAGGAAGGAATGAGGCCATCCTGGTCTATAGAGCAAGTTCCAGGACAGCCTCCAAAAGGATAGAGAGAAACCCAGTCTCAAAAAAAAAAAAAGAAAGAAAGAAAGAAAAGAAAAGAAAAGAAAAAAAGAAATAAAAAAGGGTAAAATAAGAAATAAAATAAAAAATCTCCAGTCTTTCGCCTGATCCACTGAGGTCAGGAAAGTAAAGGGGAACTGAGAGATCTAAAAGGCTAGCCAGTAAGGCTATGTGGATGTGTTAAAAAGGGGTACCAAGCTAGGGGTACCGGATTAAATCTCCAGGCCTTCGCCTGACAAAGGTCAGGAAAGTAAGGGGACCCTGAGAGATTGCCCTCAGATGGGGGGTGGATTGGATTAAATCTCCAGGCCTTCGCCTGACAAAGTTCAGGAAAGTAAGGGGACCCTGAGACATTACCCTCAGTTGGAGGGGGATTGGATTAAATCTCTAGGCCTTAGCCTGACACTAAGGTCGGGGAAAAAGGGGAACCCAGAGATTGCCCTCAATTGGAGGGTGGATTGTGTAAATCTTAAGGCTTTTTGCATGAGGGAACATCCTGGGTTGAAAGTTGGATTGAAAATGGGTGAATAGCCGGGCGTTGGCAGCATATGCCTTTAATCCCAGTACTCGGGAGACACAGGCAGGCAGATCTCTTGAGTTCAAGGCCAGCCTGATTTACAGATCAAGTTCCAAGACAGCCTCCAAATAATACAGAGGAAAAAAAAATTTGTAACAAGCTGGGCGGTGGTGGCACACGCCTTTAATCCCAGCACTTGGGAGGCAGAGGCAGGCATGTCTCTGAGTTCCAGGCCAGGCTGGACTGACAGCCTCAAACAATACAGAGAAACCCTGACTTTAAAAAAAAAATGGGTGAAAAAAAATTTGTAACAGTAAAGAGGTACTGGTATTAAGTAAAGAAAAAGAAAAAGACAAAGGTATATAGAATGGAAATTTTTGTTTACATTTAAGTTCTATTTTGTGAGTCATCTCTAAAAACTTTTGGCCAAAAGCTTGGCCTCTCCACCTTGCATCTACAGAGTTACAAGGAGTAGGTACGGCTGTACCCCATGACTATAGCTCAAATGGAGGAATGATAAAGAACATACAGGACTTTTTAACCCTTTTAGTTCAAGGATTGGCTGGAGTTGTTCTTTTACATAGATTTCAATTAAGGAAGCTTCATTGCAACAGACTAATCATGACCTAGGGAAAAAAGATGATTGAAAGATGCATGTTCTGAATGTATGGTGTGGCCACACCGGTATGTATGAAATGTGATTGTGAATGCGTGAGTGTGAACTGCTTATATGATTAAAAGGATACTTAAATCCCTTCAAAAATAGTTAAGAAGCTACCTAGATTGCTTTAAATATAGCCAAAAGGAACATCCAGCCAGTCTGTTAATGTTTTAACAGAAAAATTTAAGATGCAAACGAGGTCTTGTCAGCTAGTGAGAGCTCTACAGGTTAGATTGGGAAAGACTGCTCACAGACTTCAAATACTTTTCAAAAGTTATTTGGACACAGTATAGTTTACAATCTTTGATTATTTTCAGAAGTTTTTGGGAAATATTTAATGGATATGTCCTTTTTAATGGGCATCTACAAATAATCTAAGTAGTGACCCCAA